TTGCCAATCTGGATACTTCTTCTTGTGTATTTATACACTTAAACTGCTCTTGTTGAAAATGGGGCAAAAATAGATGTGTAGATAATGAAGGAACTGGGGTCTGGAGCAAGATATGCCCGCTTTAGGGAAGCTGCTTGAACCTCTGTTCTTGGATTTGTGGCTTGGCAGTACATGTACAAAAATTCTACTTTCTAGACTAGTTAAATCTATCCTGTTTGCGTATTTGTATTCAGTAACAGACTCAACTGTGTTTATTGATGTGCCTTTCTGTTGCATGAGCTGATCCCTGCTTTTACTCTAGTGCAGAATTGAAATTGGGAGAGGAAAGTGTGCTTTCTCTATGGGGAAGCTGTCCAATCACTTTGTAAAATCTAGTGGTAAGAGTTGAAAAAAATACCCTGAATGCAGAGGCCAGTGTTACGCATCAGTGTTGCAGGGGGGAGGGGAAAGAGAGGAGGCTGCCAAAGTGCTTCCCCTAGTCGGAATGCTGTTTCAGCCCCACCACGTGCGCATGAGGGGGTGAAGTCTTGGCTCTGGCACTTGTGGAATTCTGCCAGTGACTGAAGAGGAGCCAGGACTGTACCTTGCTTGGGGTGATGGGCTCATATGTACCTACGGAACTTGTCTGTCAAAGTCGAGCTCGTTTAGACAACAGTTCATTTAATTTCCTGACTTGTATACATAGTTATAGAAGTAGGTCATATAAATGTAGCTTCACATGGAAGTTTTTGCCACTGAAGTTTCTGAAATATGTCCTGTTTCTTAAACTAAGATTTTAAGTAACTGAAATTCAATCTGTGATAGCAATCCCATGTATGCCATGTTGTTCTAAGATGCTTCTAGTTTCTTGGCTACTCAAGTTTTGGTTGTAGGCTTTGAGATTTCAGTCAAAAGCTAGATAACTTGCAGCTGGACTTTATTCCAGATGATGGCAGTTCTTAAGGGCTCTGATTGTCCATAAATGAGAGCTGAGGACAAAACTATGTTTGTTGTTTCATGGTCTTTCCTTTTTCTAGTAAAATTATTTCTATAAAATACTGGGTTGAAAACATACGTACTTCTAAGTCTTTTTACAAGATGACATCTTAATGTGTAGTTGATAACACTTTCATGCAGGGATTTGCAGCCTGGTTTGATTTTTGAAAACTTAGCTGTTGGAAATACTCATAGCAATGCATTTCTTTTTTGAAAATAATCTGGAATTTTTGTTATATCTGTAGGGCCTAGCTAAAGCTAGGAAATTAGGTAATCAGATTAGGTAGGATCCATATAGTGTTAGTTTCCTCATACGGATGTTGTACAGTCTATGATCAATGAAGTTTCCTCTGGTTCCTGGCACATTCCAGTGTACTGGAAACATTCAAGATACAGTGACCTTCTGTAATTTGAATAGAAATATTTTAGTGCTGTAACTGCTGGTAAAACTTTCTTTTCTATTTTGACCATTGGAATCTAGGAGTGCTTAAACCTTGTTCTACCTACTCCTTTAGAAAAGGTGTGTTGTGATACAAGTGAGCTAATGTAACAGCCAAGGTGTTTCAGAAGAGATTAGTCCTCCTTAACTGTGCATTCCTGTATCTTACCTTTGTCTGTATATATATCTTGCATTTAATAAGTTGACTTGAAAGATTTAAATTTGGACAGTAACTTGTGGAAAAGGTGGTAGAAAATCAGTGTCCCTTCCCTCTGCCCCCCATATTTGACAGGATTACTTAGCGTCCCTTTAAGATTCAGGGAAATAATTTTGAGTAGGAGTTTATCTAATAGTTGGGTTTGTTCAGTCATTAGATAACTGAAGTTTTCAACAGAACATAATTAAAAGTACACAGTTTTTATACTGTTCTGTGTAGCACTTTATATTGTACAAGATTTTCAGTTGTGATGAATGCTGTGGAGTATGTTTTCTTTTGGTGCTAATGCAAGCAAGTAGAAGTGTGCCAGTAAAAAGGCATGTTCTCTGAAATGCTGTTGAGGCTGTAGCCTTGTGGCCAACTGGTGACTACTAACAAGCTCTAGCCTGAGAGTTTGTGTGCTGGGCTCATTTTAAATGCTTTAGTATTTGAAATTATTTTGATATTGCTAAGATGTAATATATTGGGAAATTGATATGACTTAGATTTGTGTTCCAGTCTTGAAGGCCTTAGGTCTTAGGAAGCTGGTGAAAAACATGTCTCTCCTCGAATGTGGTAAAATGCTGAGCACAGTTGGAAATGGTAATCTCACTTTAACTTACTTTGTTTTGTGGGGAGAAGACCCCAAATTTATGTTGAGTACTTCTAAGTTTGGCTAAGTAAAACAAAAGTTGCAAATGGTTTATTTTAGGCTGCAGTAAGTTTCCTCTTGAGGCTCTACTGCAGACAAATTGCCGGTACCATGGGTAGCAGTGCTGCACCACAGCATGATAGTTGACATCAAGTGTGTTCATATGGCAGACTAAGCTAGCTAAAATGCCTTCTCGTTCCAGAATATATGCCCTATTCTGAGATGAGCAGCTACTACAAATATCAAGAAGGAAAGGTAGTCAGTTACCTTAGCTTTTTAAAAAAATTTCTGCAATCCTGTGAAAACAGGATGTGATGAAAAAGTTTGAATTCCTTGCTAGGTTTGCTGCAAGCTACACGAGGTGTTTTGGCTTTTGTCTCGTGTTTACTCTTAAAGCTTTCCTTTGAAAAACCGGATGTGTAAATTTTGAAAGATAAACTGGATATAATATGACCTCACTGCTGACAGAGTAGAGGGGAAAAATTGATGAGCTCTTTAGACAGAAAAGTTACAGGCATGTTTTTTAAATAGTAACTGTAGCTTTTGTTACCTGGCCTTAGTCTGACTCTTCTGGCAATGACTTCTGAACACTGGGTATTGTAAAGGAGAGGAAGGTTCAAACCATATGTGATTGGTGCAGACTGCCTAGCAGGTACAGGAAGCTCGTGAGTTTTTCCAAAGTTAACAGGCTGGCCCTTGCCTGCAGGGAACTGACTGTAAAGTTTTTGGAAGTAGAAGCACCTAATTGCTTGAGGAAGCTATTGTAACATGGCTTCAGGGATTGTAGGGATGCCATGTCATTGTGGATCCCGTTTGCTTATTGATGCTGGTTTTAAGTAGCTTGGTTTCTTCCTTAGTTGATGCCTGGTGAGTGAATCTCTCTTTATCATGGTGTTATGCAGATCAGCATGCAAAATGAAACTTAGCAAATTTAAGCTTACTTTGCCTTGCCTACTTCAAATGTTATAGTCAGTGTTGACTTAATTTGTTTTGGAGGAAAAGGTAGGTGTTGATGATGGTTGTCAGACTTGACTTGTTTTGGAGGAATACCTTGCTAGGTTACGAAGAGTCATCATGGTGATAAAGTTCTAGGGACATCTTGAAGAGTCAGAAGGGGAAAATGAGTAGAGAAAAAGAAAAGGAGGCCTCTCTTCAGCACATATGACTAGGTTAAGTCCCTTAAAATTGTTTGGCTGACTACTGTGGTTAGGTTGTGCTACTTAAATTCAGGAGAATAATTTTAAGTAGGAGATTGTTACATTGCATAATGTTACACTATGTTGTCAGCCAATCAATTTTAAATGACTCAAAATGTTTCTATGCACTGGTTAGAGAGGCATCGCTGTCTTCTTCTCTGATTATTGTTTTGACTCTGCAAGATATTCCTGGGACTTTTTTATCAATGATGACTCTTCTCTTCCCATGGTCTCTCTAGGGAGGTATGAAAATGAGCTGGAATTGTCCTTCAGCCATGAGGTCTAAAAAGACAGTTCAAGCTGGATATCAGATGTTTAATTCTGATTGTCATATGTCTGTATGTATTTTTGTATTTTGGAGGTATATCTCAAACTATACCATGAGCAGGGTAAAGGATAGTGGTGCAGCGAAATACTTCAGAACCTAAACTTCTGTTGTTTTCATAAAAGAAATTGTCTGTTTTTGGATGAATACTGAGACTTAATACTCATTTTGTTTAGTCACTGTCTAGGGTAATGGCAAAATTTAAAAACACAAAGTATGTTTTAGAGGGATGAAAGCACTGAAGTGAAATCTGAAGTTTAACCAGTACTTTGAACACTTCTGAGTGGCTGTCAGGCTGGACTTCATCAATATCTATTGCTGAAGTGATTGATCTCTAAAAGCCTTATTTACCTCTGGAGGAGTTGCATGGCAACTCTTAACTTAGACTGGAATTTCAAATGTTGAATTCAGGACTGAGGGTTTTTTATTTTATGTGGCTACTGGCTGCTTTTCATGCAGATGAAAAATTTTCTTCAGAACATGCATTGGCTACCTTTCCATGGGCATACAATGATCTAGCACAAATCTTTGCTGCCTGTGGTCTTGCAGGTTGCGTTCTACTGCGCAGTGTGTGAGTCACACATGTAAGCAGCCTCTTTATGTATGCAAGTAGGAAACAGTTTGGCTTGTGTGACTGATCAGTGTCTTTTCATGCAGCAGTAGCTGTTGGAAGCTGACAAGCGAAGTCAAAACACCAGTGTTTGGTATCTAAGGAGGTTTTCTCCTATCCAGCCATGCTGTCAAACTTGTATCAAGTTTTTCTGAAATGGACTTGGTGCTGTGTACTAGCCCTGAAATAAGATCTCACCCCATGCTTGGTTGATTTTTCATGTGCTTAAAATCTTCCCATCTTTTTTTACTCGTGACAGTTAATCAAAAATGTTGGGTGTCACATATGCTAATTCTAAGTTTCCTAGTCTAAGTCTTGCATTTCAGAAACATGGAAGAAGAGAATGAGAGTTGAACTTGGTTCTCAAGCTTCAGTCAAACAAGTTTATTTAGCACAATGCTGTGGTGATTTAGTATCTTTGGTAGCCCAACTGTTTCTGTTTTGTGTTGCAAGACTTAACATTTTTCACACAAAGACTGGCTGTAGGTGGTGTAGCTTTCAGAATGATCATCTTTATGAAACAAACTGTTAAAATCTAGATAGTGTTCTTATGGATATTGAACCTGGTGTTCATTAACTTTTTCTTACTCTTTTTTTGAAAGGCTCTTCCTTCTTCCATGATGATAGTAGCTGTCTACTGCCCAGTGATAGCAGCTCTCTTTATCGTTTTGAAGATGGTGAATTACCGTTTGCACAGGGCACTGGATGAGGGAGAAATTGTGGAGAGGAATGCCAGTGAGCATATGGACAGAGGTGCAAAAGCAGAACAAAGCAATGTTTCAGCCAAGAGGAAAGACAGCAATGGGCCCAGGTAAGTTGTCTGCTGATGTTTGCATCCTGCTTCAAATGACTAACAGTCCTGTTTTCATCAGCTGTGTAACTGGAATGGGGATTGAGATTAAACACTGAGGAATATAGATACAGATTTCTGTAGTTCTGAAAGACAATTTTAAGTCTGGCCTTGAAAAGCAGATTTATTTATATATTAGGTTTGAAATGATGGATTCACAATAATTTCCTAGTTCCTCTCCCAGAGGAATTCAAGAACAATATTGAATATGCTGGAAACAATATAATGGAAAATGTGAGCCTATTAGGTCACTGAATGCTTAATGAACATAATTAGTACAAGTAATCTTATTTCAGTAGTAGATGTAATATAAAAAGTCCAGCTGTCAGAGACCACATACTACATGCTAATTCTCTAATCACTGGGGGTGTGTCTCATTTGGTTTCAATTTCAGTGTTGCAAAAACAGGAGTCAGATACAATGTTTGACTCCAGTCATAGTCTTTTTAAGGAGAATGCTGACCTGTGAATTTGGAAATTCTGGAATTGCTCTGCTCAGTAATGAAGATAATGATTCTGAAGTACTGTCAATAGGAGGTAATTCCTTTCCAGAGATCTCCTTTGTAGCCGGCATATAAAAAACACCAGAGGTTTTTCTCCTCTGACAGACTGTTTGGAGAATGAAGAGCAAACGATGACTCATCAGCAAGGCCAGCTTAACCAGTTTGATCAGACTGTGGATGTGTTACGAGCTCTAGTATCAAAGCCTGTGCCTGCCTTAGATAATTGAGGCCATCTAAAAGTTAAATTGTATGAAATAAATCAACCTTGAGTTGTTAGCTTTTAGAGATGACCTATCTCTTGTCTCTGAGTTTCCGGTACTAGTGGCCATGAGTAGTTTTCAAAGTGAGGTGTTTGGTATGCTGTCCTGACTCTTAAAAGGTTGTATGTCTTACTGAGGAAATGTACTTGAAAGAAGCCTCTTGAGTCTGTTTATTGTGATGCTTTTAAAGAAAGGAAGTGTTAAACTGCTGCCCTTTAAAATGCTAAGCCTAGAAGTAAAACGACTTTCCCGTGTATATGTGGGGTAGCTTCTCATGTCCTAGGTTCTTGTGTGTCTTCTCTCAGCTCAGGTATTGGCAAAAACGGTGTCTTAGATTCCTCTGAAGCTGATACACAGTAACTTCTATCAATCTTTTATAAACCTGACCCTTTTTCCATGATGTGTTTGGCAACTGAGGCTGCTGATTTTAATTGTGACTCTGTTTAGATCACCCTATACCTTACTAAAATGGTACTCTGAGGTATTTTGGCAGATTGCTTTCCTAATTGTGTCTTAATGCTTACTCTGATTAATAAAATTCATGGAAGTAAACTAGTGGTCTGTTCTTTCTCATGCAACCTTGGTAATGCATATTTTAGGTGTGACCTTTAGGTGTTTAGTCTGAGCGGTTTTTGGTGGGGTTTTTCTTTTTGTAGGGTATTTTTGCCAGGTAGCTTTTGCTTCCAAAACAGGGGCCCAAAGTTGGTAAGGGAATTTCTACTAGTGTTGTGAATTATTTCTGGATGTTTCAGTTCTGTTTTGTCTAGGGAGCAGTTGACATGGGACGAGGTACTTCATTAAGTATTGTGAGCTCAGAAGTAGAGGTTAGTTTGATGCTGTGTGTCCTGCTTGCCAACTAAAGTTTCATTAACTTTTATATGATCCTTGTTCCCACTTTCAGGTCTCTTAACTAGAACTGGGAACAAGGTCAATGCAGAAATTACGGAGTTACTTTTTGGTAAGTGGGATGTACAGTATATACTAATCTTTGCCTGGAAGCTTACAAGAACTCTGGGGTAGCATTCAAAACAGTAGATGGGATGTAGAATGAGTGTTTAATATTGAGCTGTAACCCTCTTAGTAAGTTAAATTGGAACACTAATGAAAACCCAAACCTGTCTGGAAAGAGAATGTGTGTGTGTGTGTAGGGTTTTCTGATTTTTAAGCTCTACTTCCCTAATACAAGGTGGATATAGGGGAGATCTGAGCAGAGATACTATCTTAAATATTTGCATAATCAGAATATTGGTTTTGATAGCTTAGCCTACAGCATGTGATACCAAATAAATACACACATAGTATAGTTTGCAAAGCCATCCTAGAGTTTTTACTCTGCCACATATGCACTCACAGAGACCACTTTAGATACAAATCTTAGTATATTTGCAGGATTAAGTAGTGGTTGTGTTCAGGATTCTGTTTAACTTCTAAGAACTGCTGGGCTTTTTTTTCTGAAGATTTTTATCCTCAAAGTGATGCTTCCAGGTATCTAACAAATTATGTGCTATCATTTGTAAGCTTGCTTATCATTTGTAAGCTCATTCAGTTAACCTTTGTTTGTGGATGGGGGTTACTTTCCATGAAACTTTGGCATGTTTATGCAAAGAACAATTTACCGTTCCTTTAGAAGTGCCTTGGTTATTTTTTTTTGCTGTCCTCTTTCTAAAGCTGAAATTCTCTAGTTAATGTTTTTGAAAGAAAGTCTTAATTTAGAGAAAGGAATGTGAGTTGCTGTTTTCATACTTCAGGTGTTAGTATAGTAATGTTTGTGTGAGGTTTCATGAAAGCAAGTAGAGGGAATATATGCTTCTGGTCTTGTAGAAAAACAGAAGAAGCAGTACAAGCATGATCTTTGGGTATTAGTGGACCCACATAAATAATTTAAAATGCTTAAGTCAATCCTCATTTTGGATATATGAATATGGCTTCTTGTCAGTGGCTGTTATGATTCGAAGTATCATAAAGTGTTCACCTGGTGACACTGCTGTTCCTTATCCTCATCAGCATGGGAGACCTGTAATAATGATGCTTCATAAATTTCATGTTTACTTCTACCAAGTAAAGCTAGTAGCTGGAGAATGTTGCATCTTTGAAGTATTTACAGTCTAGTTAAATATGAGCAAGAAAAATAAAATTTTAAAAAGGTGATGTCTAAAACTGTTGCCTTGCCTTTGCTATTTATTCTCCTTGCAGTTTTCTGTGGCTGACAGACCTGTTCTTGAGTTTGGAGTTAGTTAGTTTTTATTTTTGGCCATCATTAGTGACTCCAGTTTGGAAGAAAATTTCTCTCAATACTTGAATCTGCTCTGATAGCATTTGCAGTTCCTGCAGTGGTTCTTAAGTATTTTGAGAACAGCCTCCTGACTAGTTACCTTACTCTTTTATTGGACATTAAGGACAGATGATGATTTTCAAAGGAAAATAATAAATTCTTCCTCTGCTTTGTGCAGAAATCAAAGTAACTTATTCCAGATTACCTCTTGAAGTTCTGGTCTGGATGTCAGATTTCTATAGTCAATCAGCCTAAGTCAGATTTTCAACTTGAATTCATGTAGACTTACAGCCTCTTCATACTTTTGGTTAGTCTTTGACATGCTGATAAGACATACCTGCAGATACTAACTTTAGTTCAGAGTTACTAATAATTAGAAATAATAGTTTTAATTTGCTTTGTGTCATCTTTGGGTGCCTCTTTCACTGCAATCTCCATTGCTGGGTGTAATTTTTTCAGTCTTCTTGATTAGTGTAGTAGCTTCACTGCAGTTATTTTGTTTGCAAACTGAAGAGTGTAACACTTGCTTTAAGGAATGAAGACAGCAAACAGTAAGAAACAGATTGTAGAATTTCATATTAGGAAGGCATGGCCATAGCACTGGCATCAAGTAGGTACCTCAATGTAAAGAACTCTGGATGTTGCTAAAGTCCAGGTACTTAGGCATAGAATGGTCAGTCCTAGAAATCTGTATTTCCTGCTTCTTCCTGCAGGCTTTATTTGCTTATTTGCTGATGCTTGTTACTAGTTTTTGTTCATCCGTTGGTTTGTGTGTGCTATCACAGAATATAGAAGCTGTGAGTAGAGTGGCAGTGATGGACTTTGTTGTTGCTTATGCTGATATCTGATGGTTCAGTTTTAGACAAAATTGCTGTCTTCTTTGGCTAACTATCTGGTTCTATGCATGAAAGCTTATTTGCAATGAGTTGTTTTTTCTACTTCATAGCATGTACTTTAATCACGTGCAGTGCTTCTCAATGAATTATTCAGACAGGAAAGGAATTTCATCTTTTTGTGAAAGGCATTCTCTGTTAGATTTTCAGTTGTCATCATAATGTATACTGAACTTAAACATTGTGAGAATTCTTCAGTTTCATCTTTAAATTCATGTTATGTCCTTATATATTCTTAAAATGCTTACAGAAGGAATACTTTGGCTGAAGCTGGTGCCGTATATTTTAAAATTCATTTTCCTTACCTGCCTTAGTGTGATGGATAATACTAGACCAGAGAGGGCCCTGTAAACAGCTGTCTCCAAGAGTATGCCTGTTTCATTGCTGAGCTGTAGCAAAATGGTGGCTTCTCACTTCTTTTTTTAATTTGCTGGAGTTGGATCATAGTTGTTCTGCTAACTAGCGGCTGGTTGTCTTTTAACTTATTTTTGCTAAAAGAATGTATTCCTAACTTCAAACTGTCTGTTTTTTTTTGTTCACCTCTGATCTAAGAAAAATGATGTGCTTCTTTTCTAGAGTGTTTCCTGAGGTTGTGCCTTTACACCTCTCCAAGATGACAACAGCTTGATATGTCATGCTGCAGGATGAATCATGTGTCAAGTCCTTTAGTTTACAGACAATTTGTTTAAAATATCCTCAAGTGATGTCCATATATTTCAAAAATCATTAGAATTACAGAATATGCTGAGATGGAAGAGGCCTATAAGGTTCATTGATTCGAATTCCTGGCTCTGTGCAGGCAACCCTATTAAGTGTTGTTCTTACTGTGTAAGACTTTCCTATAAGACAAATTATCTGTTAAGTAAGCCCAGCAGTGCTTTTGTCCATTTCTGTCCCCTTCAGAGGGCCTTTGTCTTTAGTGTATTTGGTCTGGCTGGAGGAGTGCTCAGCAAAATGCTGGAATTTGATTGTTGGGAAGCTGTTGTTTGTATTTGGGAAGAAGCAGAGAGGATCAGTATCAAATTACTCTGCACTTCTGTTCGAAGTCTCCTGGATCAAGGTGCTTGAAGAGAGCTACAATGGAATAGAAAAGAGTGCCTCAGCTGCTTCCTCTTTGCAATTAACAATCAATGCTAGGTTGGACCCATGTGTTCTAGTCCTCAGCTTACTCCAGACCCCACTGTCCTAATGGATGAATCCAACTTGCTTTTGTTTCGTATATCTGCCTTTGACAAGCTGAATTCTGTTGAATTACGGTTTGATGATGTTGCTCTAGGAAATACTTTCAAGCCAATAGTTACTAAAGGGTGAAATCACTAGGATGAAATGATATATATGTTGTACCTCAAAATATTTCTTGGTAGGGACTGTAAAATATCTGAAGGGAAGTTCTTTTTGAGTAGAAAGATGTGATTTGCATCCCTGGGAGAGACACCATGGCCCTGTATGTCTCTGCCCATTCAGATTTTTTTACACATGGCTTTCTTCATTAGCCATCCTAGCTTTTGCTCCCAGATTCAATCTAAGGAAAAGACCAGGAGACCTTTCCATGCTCTGAGTTCTATGTAGTATGTTTTTCTATTGGTGAATTTCTGGGTGTTATAGTTGAACAGCTGATCCAAAAGTTACATGTCTGCACATATACACAGGGGTAATTTAATATGTCAGCATTTTGGAATGCCTTACAAGCACCTAAGTTGTCACAGTTTGTGTTGGCTGGTGACAGCAGACTTGTGGCAGCAGTTTCTATGACCATGTATAGAGCGCTCCGGCTCAGACTGAGCTTCCTGAGTCAAACAGCCAGTGTTCATCCAATATACTGGGATATATGTGAGCCCTTGATTTTTGAGAAGGGAGAACTTGTTTGGAATATGCACTCAACATAGACAAACTTTTGTTTAACTTGTGGGATAATGTGTGTTGGGTTTTTTTTAATGTTTCTCTCAGTGACCCTGGTGGAGGGATTGAGATGTCAGAGTTCATACGAGAAGCAACTCCCCCTGTTGGCTGTAGTTCACGCAATTCTTATGCTGGGATAGATCCAAACAACCAGGTAAGAATTAAAGCTACTGCAGTTGCTGCTTTAGTATTGCTAGCTTTGCAGTCTGTAGACAATGTCTTCCTATTCTTTTCCAGGGTGTTTTGGTATTTGTATTTGGTTAAACAATTTTCTTTTCTGTGTGTAACTGCTTTATTAGGAAGGCATTGCATCTCCGCAGCAGCAGCATAGCTCTCATCCCGTCTTGTACTTAAATTAGAAATGGCTGGATTTTGAAAAGGAACCTACTGTCCCATCAGAAAGTATTCTTGTTTGCTCAGCTAGCTTTCTTCTGATTTAAAAAAATCAAAATGACTCAGAGTATGGTGAGCTAAGTACTAAGAATCCACTGTGGTGGGATTCCCTTGTTCCTTTGGGTATCTGTGAGCCATTAGATAGCTCAAGTTGTATCTTTATCCTTATGTTCTGGCTTTGTCTTCCTCACTTCTGTTTGTTCTGCCATTTAAAGCTTAATTGGTAAATTTCAATGCTGTATTGGAGGAGGCTTCTGTTAACTTACCTTAGAATGTATTCACTGCTGATTATCTCTTGTAATTTGCTTTCTGCAGGTTATTATTCCTGATAGTTCAGATTTTGTGATCAAAAAAGTTAATTTGCTAAAATAAAAAGAAAGATAAACTTTCGGGAAAAGTAAAACTGTTTATGATTTGCATGTCCTCTGCAAAATCTTCACTTTCTTGATTGTTCAGCAGGCTTGGGAAGAAAGCAATAAACAGGGACTTCTGCCAGATGGAAGTGAAGAACATGGCTTTATTACATTTTAATGTAGCTTCATTATGCTCTAGTTGCCTTGAATTTCACTGGCGGAGTTGCTCTGTTTCCATATTATGTCTACTAGGTTTGTGTTCAAATTCCATAGCGTTGGATGTGCTGTTCCTTTTGTTTGGCTTGTGGCATTTAGCTAGTTGTGGCTAGTTTTTATCAATCTTTGATGAGGAAAAGTAGATTAACTGCCTAGGCTATGCAGTTATGTTGATAATGAAGAATGCAGCATCATGGTAAAGGCACAGGACCTGTCTTCAAATGCCGTGAAAGTCCTCGGCATGGTATTACAATATCAGGTTCTTCTAATTAGCTCTGAGCAAGCAGTAGATGATGAAGTGCAGTGGTATACTAATGTTGGTGTTTTATCTGAATCATGCTCAGTTATGCAGTATAGATACTCCTAAGAGATTTTTCTTCGTTTAAGAAAGAAGGCATTTGCTGATGTTCAAAGGAATAGGAAGTGATGGTCCGTGTAGGAAGATAGAAACATGATGCCCAGACTAGTTCTTTGACTGGTCTTTGGAAAAAAATATGTTCCAAACATAAGAGTTATAATATTAAATCATGTGAAGAAGTTCAAGCTACTGTGAAAGACAGTGTTTAGAATGTATTTGTCCTAATAAAATTAGTATTCGCTGGTCCCCTGTGGTTGAATGTGCAGCATCAAAAGAGAACATGAACAGTAAGCATCTGAGTTCTGTTCAGTTTTTCTCTGTGAAGTAACTTTTCTGTGATGATGCATTTGTGTTCAGTGACAGCATTCAGGAAAACATATTATTGAATGGAAAAATGTTGAAGCATGACAAAATGAGTCACTAAAAGTGTGTGTGACAATTGCGAAGAAATTGTTTTAAGCAAACTCCTAGCTGCTTTTTCACATTACACGTAAAGCCATTGTTCCTCTGTGCTGTGGCTCAATAGGATCTGCACGTATCTTCAGGTTACCTGAAATTGCTGTGCTTACAGAAAATAACTAATAAAACTATGCTCTTTCACCCAGAGCATACTAGGAATTGTAACTAGGAATTTTTGGAAAACACCATCCCAGTAAGTATATATGTATCAGTCAAATGGCCATCATGTTTATGTGTTATAGATTCAGATTCTGCATTTGAGTGTTCTTCCTCTATCTCATTTTTGAGTGGTTTAATTATCCGACGCTTACACTGTTGTATGCTATTTATAGTTGAGAGGCTGTATTGAAAATGTCATTGAAGGAAACACCAAATTCTCTTTAGCAAGTCTGCAAAGTAATCTCCAGTGCATTATAGGATATATTTGGAAGGGTAGATTGCAAACCTAGATAGTGAAATTTTTTTGCTTGAGCAGGTACCATGCTTTCTGGTTTGCCATTGAATGTGAAATTAACTGGAAAAATATGTATCTTTTCACATGGGAGCAGTTTTTGGATTTAGCTTGGTGTTTACAGACAGCAAGACACTTGAACAGATAAGTTTTGTACTAAGATTGTGTTTTCTTTAAGCATTTTAGACAACCAAGATCGCTGCATTAAATGTTCAGTTTTACAACAGCAGTTATTAGCGTAGCACTGCACTTGTACTTTCTTGCCACATTAAGTAAGGAGAATTCCTAGGTTAGAAACTTTTTAAAATCAGCATAGTAAAGTCTCCATGAGTGCTGACTTTTGAATGGAATAGTGTTGTGATGTAGTTGGATGCTTAATTACATACATGACTTTTCATCTCTTTGCAGTGGAAATAGTCAGAATTTTAAGCACTGTGCTGCTGGATGCTTTTGTGCCTTTAAAGACCTCTTCTACGTGTATAGGCAAATGCATGTGTAGTAGTAATAGGAAATAATAATTGTTTATTTTGTGAAAGTGTACAGCTTTTTACATTATTACCTCTTTCTAGGTTGGATCTGGGTTATCTCGTCTGGGAACAGCAGCAACCATCAAAGGTGAGATTTTTAGCTACCTAAATTACCTTGCAGAAACACTTCAAGTCACTATTGCTTACTGCGTTGTTTCCACAGTTTTTGTTTGGTGGTTTTTGTTTTTTTTTTTAGCAAAATACAGCATTTACTAGTTAGGGGAAGTCTTATTTGGACATGCAGATTATATGACCAAAACATGAGGAGAGTGTATTCTGGGGCTGTATTCTACTTCCCATGTAATGACAGATTTTCCCTTTGCCTACAAAATGCAAAGCCAAAGGGTTGGTTGCGGTAGACTTCTTACTGTTTTGAGTTCAGTGCAACCAATTACCCTTCTGGTATTGTATATCAATGACTTTATTGCTTCTCATTGCTTGACATCTAGCTAAAGTATTTTTCAGCCCTTGTGAACGCCTCTAAGATGAAAAGATAACAATTTTGCATAGTATGAGTATTTTCTTGCAAATTTATCCAGCCAATAAGGCTGAAACAAAAATCGTATGCAAATTTTTGTCACCTTGACTTAATTATTTTTTCCCTTGCTTTTCTGATCATTACAAGTATTTTCTTAGTCTACCCTTTTTTTTTTATAGAGAACCATGCAAAAAGAAATATTCCAATAGATATGCCTTGAAGTGGAAAAAAAATCTTTTGCCATTGAGTTCTGTGGAAGATGAAACAAAGAGTAGACAATACTTTTACTTAAAAGAAATCTCGTGTTATTATGGTTATGTAATTGTTAATTACCTATAGATGAAGAAATACAAGCAACAGTCTTTCATGACAATTGAGATTGTAGATGTATGTGTTAATACTTTGAGCACTAATACTCTTATTTCTTAAAATTTGCAGGTGATACTGACACGGCCAAGACCTCTGATGATATCAGTTTGAGTCTTGGCCAGAGTTCTAGCCTATGTAAAGAAGGGAGTGAAGAACAAGGTAAAATTTCTTCTCCATATTTAAACATGGTATTTTGTTACCAGAGACCCTTTGCTTAATATGCTAAATAAATTCATGCAGTTTGTTGATACCCTTTCTTGGAGTCTATCTTGGGGTTCCCTGTTTCCTTCCTTAATTACTCAGGCTTCTGAGAAGTGTAATTTGATTGCTGATGACTTTATTCTTTGACTGTGTGTTCCTTGTTCTGACTTCTTCCATCAGGTAATAAATATTTACTGTCACCTTACTGCTGAAAGATAGGGATAGGTAACTTAACATTTCTGTAGACTGTGTCTCTTAGACTACAGGTGGCCTGGAAATAATGGACTTCATTGTAGACTAATTTGCTTTCCTTACAAGTACAGACAAATCTAAATGTGGCAGGCTTTTTCAAAAAGTAAATAACACCATACAGAGCTCTATGTTCTTAGAGCTATAGACTGCTTCCAAGATACAGGTTATCAGCTTGGTGAATTATTTTTTTTTCAAAGTTTTTTTCTAATCTGTGAGGAAACTGTTAGCTTGTGTTCTGAAACAAAACAGGACAATTTTTCATTTAGCTTCATTGCCAGGAAAATAGCTGCTCAGACTAAAACAGAGCATAAAACCAAAGGGAAATATTTGTTTGCTGATTTTCAAGTACCTGGTGATTAGGAGGAAGTCAGCTCTGAGAACACCACCTTTCATTTTGCCAGTCTAATCACTAATGGGTGATCAGAGCCATTAGATGGATGATTCAATCACTACTGTGTGATTCTATACAGAAAGTGTGTTTGAAAAGGAGCATCACAGGTGGCCATGCTGTTGTAATAGGCCACAGGGTTCTGCTACTTTCAGCTGAATGATGTATAAATAAAGCTGAATAAAGAGACTGTGAAGTCTCTTAAGTTGCACGTGTTCAAATATACTGTACAGAAATTTAGCAACTGTAGAAACGTAACTTAACTTGGCCTCCAGATCTTCTATTTTTAGTGACAAAAGCAAACGGGAAAACTGACTTTTAGTACTGCCTGCAGATGGACACTCCCGGGAGACTGCCTGTGATGGGTAACAGGAATGATTGTTTTAACCAAGTGCTAACAGTAAATCCTCAGGATTTGCTTGAACAGCAAAAACCACCTCTTTTGTTTTTGTGTTTTTTTAGAGGTAGTAAAACTCAGTGACTTCATAGGGAGTTTCATTATAGTACAAAAAGACCTGTGACAGTGACTGCATCCTTGCTAACTGTGAACTTACTTGGGTAGGAAAGGTGATTTTTGTTGGGTGTTTGGTGACTTCAGTGTTAATGGGGTTTACTGTGTTTTCACTAATAGCTTTAAAGTTTGTTTACTGCATGTGGGAACCAAAACAAAAGGCAGGGTACTGTTTTATAATTAAGAAACTTTGAGATATGTAAAAATACTAAGTCTGAGACACATAAGCAATAGAGGAGGTTGGGGACTTGTCAGAATTACCTTGTCATATTATTTGCTAGGGATAAGCTGATATTGTTGATTTCTTTTTCTATTTAAAAAAAAAACCTGTCAGGTTTTCCCAGATGTTATAAAATATTTGATGAATTCATAGTACTTGCAATTGGATTTTTTAGTTCATTTACTTTGTCCGATATAAACTAACAGATTTAAAGCAAGTTGTATAACTTACTTGAACATTCTACATGAATATTTTTAAATATGTACTTATACAGATTTGGCATCTGATCGGAAGCTGTTTCGTCTGGTGTCAAACGACTCGTTTGTCTCCATCCAACCTTCATTGTCCTCTGGACAGGATTTGCCAAGGGACAGCAGTGACAAAGTGTGCCTCTCGAACAACCAGCTTGTGGACCAGTCTAAAAACAGTGCATGTGACACAGAAGTAGCTTCGCTGGTAACTCTGCATTCTCACTCCTATAGGAAGGATCATAGACCACGAGGTGTACCAAGGACTTCTAGCTCTGCTGTTGCTTTTCCAGATGCTTCACTAAATGACTTCCCCCTCTATCAGCAAAAAAGAGGACTAGATCCTGTCAGTGAGTTAGAAGCTTCCAAGCCCCCTTCTGGATCCCGAGAGTCTTTGGGTGAGAACTCTTGCATTTCAGGAGTTTTTCAATTAGATGATATTCTGAAAAGTAGCAGCCCTCAACCATTGACTAAGAGTGGGAAGAGCAAATCCTTGAAAGCAGACAAAAGTATGGACAGTCTGAGAAGCCTGAGTACTAGAAGCAGTGGTTCAACAGAAAGCTACTGCAGCGGGACTGATCGTGACACCAACAGCACCATCAGTAGCTATAAAAGTGAACATACTAGCTCAACACATATAGAAAGTGTATTGTCAGAGCACGAGGAGGAGTCTCCTAGAGAAGAGAAAAAGGATGGTAAGAAAAAAGACTGTGGTGTTGACTCAGAGGATGACAGTAGTTCTACTACTGACAAAAGGACTAGTAGCGAAAGGACTGCTGTGGAAGTGAGTCCTCTGGGTGGTGTTCAAGAGGTAAAGGGTTCTAATGTGTCTGATGAGATGCACAGCCAGAAAGGTCTTGCTGCCTCTGCTTCAGAAGAGGCCAATAAGAACCCACATGCCAATGAATTGACTACACAAGCTGACAGGCCGCATGGGAAGGCTGCTGAACAAAGAGATGAGCAGAGTGAGAAAATAGCTGTGTTAGTAGATTCAAGAGCTTCTAAAGAAACTAGTGGAAAACAAAAAGAAGGAGATGTTCGACCAAAATCTTCTAGTTTAATACATCGAACAGCCTCTACTCACAAGTCCAGCCGGAGAAGGACAGGAAAAAAGCGGGCTAGTAGTTTTGATTCAAGTCGGCACAGGGAATATGTTTCCTTCCGAGGTGTATCTGGTACTAAACCTCACAGTGCTGTGTTTTGTCACGATGAGGACTCCAGTGATCAAAGTGACTTGAGCAGGACATCAAGCATGCAGTCAGCTCACCAGTTCAGCAGTGATAGCTCTTCCAGCACCACCTCCCATTCATGCCAGTCTCCTGAGGGAAAATACAGTGCTTTAAAGACCAAATACATTTCTAAAGACCGTGGGGGCACGGACTCTGAAAATGCTCACAAAACCCACGTAAGCTCTGAAGGAATTAGCAAAAAAAGATCTACACGACGGACTTCTAGCACAAACAGTGCCAAGAATCGTGCCAGAGTGTTAAGCCTGGACAGTGGTACTGTAGCTTGTTTAAATGACCCAAATAGTTTAATGGCACCAGGTAACATAAAACAGTTAACCACTTCAAAATCTGATTTGGAAGCCAAAGAAGGAGAGGTGCTAGATGAGCTATCTCTGTTGGGAAGGGCTTCACACTTAGAGTCAGTCACTCGTTCTAGGAATAGCTTACCAAGCCAGGCTACATTTCCTGAAGGGGAAGAGCAAGAATCAGCAAGTGGAGGTAAGTAAATGACCTACCAGAAGTACCTTGTTGTATTTTGTTAATGAGTCTAGTATCTATGACTTAAATTAAAACTATACTTAAGCATCCTCCCTATTTCTTCACTCTTGCCCTGTAAAACTGAAAAAGTGTTTCCATCATAATCTCTTGGAAGATCTACTGAAATGGGTGTCAAATCCAAACAGCTTTTACAAAATCTATAAGCAGAGGTTTTAGGGGTTTGTTACCAGCGGTCTTCATTAATTAGAGCTGTATCTTAAAACTATTATTTGTGCTCAAATCAAACCTGCTCCATTGTACTGAGCAATATGAGCTACTGCAGCCTCTCTGGCATGGCTTGAGGTGGTAACAAGAAATAAAACCAGTCCCAAACCCTTACCATGCTGTTTTAATTGTGGATTCTTACAATGGTCTAGTTACTAAGCTGAATTCTCCTAGGGAATTGATTTTTGCTTAGCCTTGCCATTGCTGGCTAGACAGTGTTGTTTACTTTGGGTTTTGGGGGCTTTTTTGTCTTCATTATGTGAACACAATAACCTTCCAGCACTGGAGAGGAATGTAGTTTCCTTTTATTTTCCCTAACTATTGTTTTGCTTGGTGTAATGTGAACAATAAGCTACCTGGAGTAGCTGTTATTAATACAAATTAATAGTGGCATTTAAAACAAAATTTGGAGCTCTTAATTTTTAAAGTTTTTTTTGCTTGTTATAATGTTTGTTTCTTTTCTTGGTTAACTATATTGACTGCCTTAACTGGAAGGCTTTTTGTGTCAAGGTAGATAAGTGTCCTTAAAATATATTTTCAGAACAATATGGGATTGCTAATTAACTCAGTCTGACTTCTGGAATATTCAGAGGCCAATACCTGCCAGCTAATGTAGATCTTTACATCTAGGTGGACAAACACTTCATAAAATTGTATTTTAGATCAAAACAGGTATTTTTAACAAACTATAGCAAATTTGACTGTTTGTATTATGTAGACTGCCTAAACAAAATATAGTGGTTCATCTTGAAAAGAGGTTTCCAGCTCATAGTGAGATATGTTTTACCAATAGTGGGGATTTGTTTTGGTTTTATTTGGGGTTTTTTTGTGGAATTTTTTTGTGGTGTGTCCCCCAGTATCAACAACAGAACTGCATAAATCAGGACAATTAATCTCTAGGGAGGGAAAGAAAGTGTGCCACACTGAAATTCAGCTGTGTATTGATTATTGATCCAATTTGACTGGTTTACAGTTAGTTCAGACCTGTTATATACATTCACTTTACTGATGTATGCAGATTTGTTCTTTTTTTTACTTTTTCTATTATTCCTATTTACAGATTTTTGCAGTAGCTTTAATAAAAGAGTCCAGGTTGCTCTTCCAGTACTAACTCTACGAGCTAAACAACACACTTTCTTCCCAAGGCCCTGTTAAAGTGACAGCTCTTTATGTCTACTGAGAGTAATTTGACTAATAAAAGGTCTCCTTTATGTATTTACCATTTTGAGTATGTGCTTTCCTTAGCACTAAATTTGATTTAATTTTGTTTTCATTGTGTTATTACTGCTTAAACCTGTTAAGATTCTCCCTTTATGTGCAAAGGAGGATTAACATACCTTACCTTTCAGAACATGTCAGACTTTATATATGCTTACTACTTGTCAGTAGTCTGAAAGAATTAATGGAAGACAGATGCTGAATATTATGAAATATTTTGATTGCTCTTTCGAAAAGGTTTGTCTTCCCCACCATTTCACTCAACACATTTCAAAGCAATCTTAAAGGTATGAATCTCTAGCAGCTTAAGCAGGAAAGAAAGCAGCTTAGCTTGCTGTCATTCTTGCTGGCCTGATCCATTTCCAGTTTAAAATTTTACGTGATGGTCATTTTAAAGATGTTAGTATTTTTATTAAGTGGCAAGTAGCCAAGTTCTTCTCTATGGGTTGCAGGCTGTCTTTAAGAAGCAACCCGAAATCAAGTTCTCCAGATCTTGTGACATGATATGGTTAATAACACTAGCTGTGTATTGTTTCTTCCTACCAAGAGATAAGGAAGTATTTGATTTATGATTGTAAGAAATGAATGTCATTCTGCTTTTTTTTTTTCTTTTTTTAAAGCAGAACAAAATTATGACTTGCTTTCCTTTAGCACTACTTAAATATTTATTCAGTCTTGTCTAGCACCAAGGCAGTAATTACATTGCATTTATCTGTTCATGATCAATCTGACTAATTCTTTCATAGTGTCCTTTAGTGGTTTTTCTCTTGTGTGGGTTTGTTGGGGGTTTTCCTCCAAAATTTATAGCTTATATTACAAGTTTTGTAACATCTGTATCTTTAATTGTGGCTTTCTTCTTTAGGCTTACCCATGACTAATAGTAATGAGAGAAAATGTTTTAACTCTTTAGAATCTAAGTGCTTTATGGCCAGTATTTCTTATTATGGAGATATCCTCACCTTTTGGGAGGTTTTAAAAGACATACATGTGTGATATAAATACATGTTGTGCGTATACATGTATAGTATTTTTTGGAGAAAAATAAGAAATTATTTTATTTACTTGTTGCAGGTGATTTACAGAACAAACTTGGTTTGGATTTTCATAAGATCAGAGGATGTTGGTTGGATGTGATTTTTAGAGGTAGTCTGGTCCAGCCTCCTGCTGAAAGGATTAATCTGTGATTTTATACAAATATTTTTAAATGTCTGTAATTGCTTATGATAACTTCCTGAAACAAATAATTAAAAGATGCATAAAGGATAACTAAAAGACTGATTTTAATTCCACCTCTTTTGCAGTCAGAAGCTTTCAGTTCCTGTTTTTACATATGACTTAAATCAGTAATTATAACATCATTTTATCCTTCAGTCTGTAGAGACTAGAAGTACATTCTTGTTTGTGTAGCTGCTAAAATGTATTTTGTAATGGATATGGCCTTTACTAATCTTCCCCTAAGCAGGATGTTGTACAAACTTGTGCATATTTCACTTTTGCAGATACAGCTTAGTAGTTTCATTTCTATACTATTATGCCAGGAAGTGGTGAATGACTCACTTGCTGTGAGATAGTATGTGCATTTGAATAGAAGTTGCAATTCATTAAAATGTAGAGAAACAGCATCTGAAAATGCAGAAATTAAGTGTATGTGGTCAATGTATAACAAGAAAATGGAAGATGTCTTACAGTAGTTATCCCTGTTCAACTATTCAGACTCCAAAAGTAGCTAGTGAATTGATAAGTCATGGCTTACTTGAAGTTGCTCCTCTGTCTAGTGTTATTCTGGAAATAACCCCTTTGCACTGTCTTGTGCCTGGTTTCTGTCAGATGTGTGCTGTTTCTGATTTGCTGTTTGTAACCATTTAAAGAACCACCATAATGCTGTATATATCACAGTGATGTTTTGGAAAACTTGAGCTGGCCTGAAAAGTCAAGTGTTCTCTCCAGTTCTATAATTACTGTAAAAGGTGTGCCCTTTAAGTTGCTTCTCTGTTTACAGCTTGCTGCAATTTAAGGTTTATTTACTTTGAGTTTGTGAGATACATACCCTTTTGTAGATAAAACTGCATGTAGTGTGATGCATTTTCCCTTCTGTGCGTTGCATATCAATATTGAAGTAACAGCTCATACTGTTTTCTGTATTTTGAGGTCTGCATTACCTCTCTATAGGCAGGCAAAATAGTGCTTTGTGAGTTTGGATTACTCTTGTTTCATATGACACATGGAAACCTGTTCAGCTCTTCAGTCTGTGTGTATTTGTACATACATGCTTAGTGTGTCTGCCTGCAATTATTACAATTCAGTTCTCTGTTACTCAGCCAATGGTCATGGCAGCTGCTAGCAGTATATTACTTTTTTCCTACTGTGCTGTTGTTGCACACGGTCTATGTCATGACTTGATTTGCCTGTTTTGCAAAGCTGTTCCATGCTTCTGATGGCTTTAGTTTTTGCTACATTTTCCAGCAGATACAATGAATATTATGACATAAGATGGGGCTTCTGATTTTGTTTTCTGTGTCCGCCAGTTCATGCTCAAACTACTAAACCAAACAGTTTTGCATGAGAAGTTGGAGTTTAGAAATGGTAGAAACTGAAAAATGTGTAAGGTTCCTCTGATTGGGTGGCATGTATGTTGGCTGTCTCTATTCGTGTATTCAGCAGAACCCCGCTGTAACTGGACCCAGGTAAGCAGATCAGCAGTAGAAAGGGCTCATAAACATCTTATTGTACTGTCACAGCTTTTGTGTGTGAAGGTTGAGTTTTACAGAATTCCCTCTGATGCTGGTTATCTTGTCATCTCAGTATAGAAGTCAGATTGCTACCTTTAAACACTTAAAGATGTAGGTAGTGTTAGGAATGATACATAAAGCTGCTGGGGAATTTCTACAGTTTTGGAACTTACCAGTGAAATAACACTCGGAATGAGTCTAGCATCTATTAATTGTTAACCACTTCCTAGTAAAGTAAAATTTCAGTACATTTTGTGGGGACTCAATCCTGTGTTTTGTCCCCTTTCTGGTATTTATGGATAATACAGAGGCTTTCATTAGATGACTTTTGCTTGATTTGGGAAGATTGGTTCCATTTTGTTGACATGTATTCATGTATTTGCTAAGTATTCATCTCAAACAGGAGTTGAATAGGAATTTTTGGTATTAGATAAAAATTAAGCTGCATCTTCATGCTGGCTTGTAGATTTACCTGGGTTTATTGGTATGCAAATAAGCAAGGAAGTTCTAAAAACTGTTATCAGCTGTGATGGAATTGCTCACATTGCTGCATAATGTAGCTGTGAGATAAAACTCATTCCTGTATTGAAGTTGGCCACTAATTAACGTTTGGTGTTTTAGTTAAGGCTGTGTAGTGCAACCGTAACTTGCTGTGTATGATACGCTAATACAGTATGCCACATATGCTGGAAATGCTTGTTCTGAAGATTTACAGCATCTTTTCCTTAGGGTGAATAAATCTAAACACAAAGTCAGAACTAATTTCATTAATGTCAATTATGAACATTC